GATCACAGTCCCTCGTCTCCGTCGTGAGAACATCAAAAACTCATCATATCAAGTGCTATTATCGAAAACACTGTAACGAGAAGAAGGTCTAACCGGACACAACTTCCATACCAAAAACCAGAAAACTAGACCAAGAAGAAAAACTGTTCTCCGCTCTAAAAACACGGTAAACGATTATGACGTAAGGCGTCCAAAAGGAGCGAGAGTTTGAACTCCCGTTTGAACTTACAACAGATATGGCTGTAACTAAGTGTAAGAGATAGTAGGGGTCAAAGCATGCATACGCGAAATGTGTACAATAATGCACGACGTGGGAAATAGTAAGTTCATGACTGCGCAGTCATGACAATATGCGCCTCGTTAGAATAATGGCTTTTACAGTACTAGGTGACGCTTGCACGGTATGTTCGATGAGTGCGTTCTTTGCAATGAATGGATGCTTCATACTAAAGTCCTGGTCAGAAAATTTCGACCTCATGAATAAAAATTGTGACGGGCGCTACACTGCCCTAGCACCACACACACTATTCATTGCACTTGAACGCGACGTGACGCTACACACTTTGTTTCGGGTGACCCGACCGACCGATGTTTTTAGCGCCGACCGATTTATTGTTCTATTTCACATGCATTCATGCATGTTATGCGCATCATACGCATGTACATTTGCACATGTATGTGCGCACACTTCGCAGAGTGCCAGGCCCAAGGCTCTTCCTTCCTGGCTCTGGCTAGACATTTCTGTCTTTTGTTTTGAGTTGACTCGATTGATTCTACACTGCCCCAGCACCACACACTATTCGTTGCACTTGAACGCGACACGGCACTACTCTACCGTCTACGTTATACATTTGGTCGAGTGTCACTGGCCAGAACTGTAGTTCATGTATCTGCTTGCACATCCTTGGTGGAGGCGTACGTTTCCTGTTGAATTCGGTGGGGTTGGCTTTCAGCACACAACAAAGAAACTTGAAGAATCCATCCAACTTCTTGGGACCGGCATAGGAATCGCAATCGAGCGCAACCGAGACATTCAGCTTCCTGGCGTCATGGCAATGCCTTGGCCTGGTGCCCAGTTGATCGGTGGCGATTACTTGTTTGACAGGCTATGGTAGCTGCAATTTGAACCCCGTCCGGAAGCCATCAGCGGCGTTAGGCACGCTACGGTACACTATGGTATTGGCAGTACCACGTTTTGGCCAAGCTAACCGGATAATTGATAAAAACAACCTCAACTACCCTCAATTAATGAATATTTAATGCAAACATTTTTGTACCAGGCCGCACCAAAAAAGTCCTTTGTTTCGGGTAACCCGACCGACCGATGTTTTAAGCGCCGACAGATTTATTATCCTATTTTACATGCATTCATGAATGTTATGCGCATCACACGCATGTACATTAAATTTTGTACATGTACGTGTGCACATTGGCTCCAAGCCACTCAGCAGAATCATCCAGTCTGCTAGGTGGAGAATGTTTGGCCACATGCTTCGACTAGACACCTCATCCCCGGTCCAGCAGGCTATGTCAGCATACTTTCAGCCAGGAAGCTCAGGGTTCCGAGGCCGCCCGAGAACAACACTCCCGCGATCCATCAACAACGACCTGAAAAATTCCAGATCCACAAACTCCCTCACATCACACGAGGATCTAGTTGCACTGAGGCAGCTCGCCCAGGATCGTCGAAAGTGGAAGGAACTAATGTGTGCTGTGTGTAATGGCTGAAGTTATACAATTACACTAGATACCCTTAACAATAATAACGGATACAATTACACTAGATACCCTTAACAATAATAACGGATACAATTACACTAGATACTCTAGATACTAGATACTCGGTACTCTACATACTAGATACTCTAACAATTTTATCAAACATTATGATAATTACCACATCAAATGCTGCGGAGACCTATCCAGAATCGGCAATATGCTGGCCCTGGCCTGGAGATCTGCAACTATAATCAGCTTCTACTTTGCAACACTAACGGATTAGTCCCCTTTGTCGATTGATGGATCAATCGGTAGATTCGGCTCTGTTTTTCTTTCCTTTCTTTCTTGTTTTGAATTGTACGTTGAACTCATTGGATTTCTTTGTATTCTGTATCTCGTTATCGTTATATTTCCCTCTAGCCCTCTCGCTTAGGATGAGCTTTCTTTTTTATGGCAGCTTAAGCGAAGGCTATATACCTGCTTTATGCAGGTTGATGCCAACGCGAACAAGCAAAATAATAAATAATAACGTGTGCACATTTTGCAGAGTGCCAGGCCCAAGGCTCTTCAATCCTGGCTCTGGCTAGACATTTCAGTCTTTTGTTTCGAGTTGACTCGATCGAGTCGGATTTGTTGCACGGTGGTTGTAGTTGCCAAGTGTAACGTTGTCGCCAGCAACATGTTTTAGTTTAGAACGAGGTCTGTTCCAGTGTCCAGGAGACGACCAATCAGCTACGTTCCCGCCAAGTGCCTTACCAGAGTTTGAAGCCCGCTCAATCGTAATTTTACTACTCTTTGATGACGCGTTCAGGGCCTTGGATTAGTTTAAAGCCCGCTGAATGTACTCTAAGCAGGTGCGTACAACTTCATGTATGCATCATTTTTAGTACGGTGCAGATAATGAACTCTGCTGAAAATGTATGGGGTACTATTAGACAAAACGATTGTGCCTGCAGTTTCCGACGGCCGGACTGTGGTTAACAGCTGTTGGAAACTCGTCAAAGCAGTGTTTGCTTCCTCCACCGAAACCGGGTCAAGCTGCAAAGGTGCTGACAAGAGTGAAAATGTTGGACTTCATTTGGAGTGCGTACGCCGATTCTTTTTCTTTACTTTGGAGCAACATGAAGCTGTAGTTCCTAGCCCGCGATGATCGTTGAACGATGCGTTTATGAACAACGACTCGGAGCTCTGCTCTGCTCTGTGTCTGAGTATGACCAGTTTGACTGTTCCTAGCGGTCTCAGTCTCTATCGGCCACACATGTTTTTGTGTCTGGGCGGTGTACTGTACACATGTGCATACCGGTCTGCCGTGCATAAAGAATATCAGCAAAAAAAAAAAAAGCCGGCCGACCGACCAGAATTTTTCTGGCCATGTTGCCCGAAACAAAAGGCTTTTTCGGCTCGGCTCAAGATATGATTTTGGTTCTACATTTTGAAATTTTTCCTCATGGGAAGTTCCCAGAAGAGTATTTGAGATGATTGACTGTCCCACCCTGAAATACCACCCAATGACCCTGACTGTGATTATGCTTAAAGGGGAAGTTAAGGCAAAAATCAAATTTTCACCAGTTGTAGTCTTCGGGGTGCTGAGTTGAATGGTCGTGGTCCGAGGAAGCTGAGACGCTCCCTTCCTACTTGAATCCCAATCGAACTCGCGCACTTCCACCGAAACTGGGTGACTGCGCCCTACTAGATGGGGATTTGTATGCAAAATGTCACTAAAAGCGCCATTTCGTTCTTATAAAAGCACGGATGACCGCGATTGGCCCATATGTTGTAGTCTTTTGGACGCTGAGTCGACTGGTTTTGGTCCGAAAAGGCTGCGATGCGGCGTTCCTCCTTTATTCCCAATCGAACATGGTTGAACAAGCGGTCACGTGCTCCTGCGTACACCAGTCACCTGGTCACCGTGCCTGCAGGGTACAACTTACTAGCCTGTTTGACCTTTTTTGGGTGCAGTCCTGTCACTCGAGTTGAACTCGAGTTGAACCTTGGTGTGAAAGTTGTCACCTGCTGGCGTGGTGACCAGGTGATTTGGGCACCCAGGACCACGTGACCGCTTCTTCAACCATGTTCGATTGGGAATAAAGGAGGAACGCTGCATCGCAGCCTTTTCGGACCAAAACCAGTCGACTCAGCGTCCAAAAGACTACAACATATGGGCCAATCGCGGTCATCCGTGCTTTTATAAGAACGAAATGGCGCTTTCAGTGACATTTTGCATACAAATCCCCATCTAGTAGGGCGCAGTCACCCAGTTTCGGTGGAAGTGCGCGAGTTCGATTGGGATTCAAGTAGGAAGGGAGCGTCTCAGCTTCCTCGGACCAAGACCATTCGACTCAGCACCCCGAAGACTACAACTGGTGAAATTTTGATTTTTGCCTTAACTTCCCCTTTAATCCGTTCTCTTGTAGATACTTGTCATGCAATCTGAATAGAATGGACGGCCTTCCTCCTCGAGTATGGTACTGTACGTGTTTATTTGCGTTCGCAAGTACACGCGGGCTACAAGCCAAATTCTGATAGAAGCGAATGTGAGAATGGGGTGGGATAAAGGGGACTAGGGGGGAGGATAATGGTCTAGGCTGTACATTGTGTCATCTATGACAAAGGATAATCTTGATTAGAATTTGCTGGCTGGTTTCGATCTCTATCTGGTCAGCTGCGGTTAAGTGGTGGTATATCACTGGTCAACTGCAAATGTCACACTGGGTTGAGTCAAGCCGATGATGACAGTTAATCATGTACATGTACATGCCTGCACTACAGCATGTACATATACAGCACTGCTCAATGAAACCCAGTCAGGTCACTCTCAAGTACGTGCCTGGCATTGCGCAGCCCTAGGCCTAGACCTGCAAACACTGGGCTGCGAGATGGTGCAAGGGGCAAATTTCTAGTGACGCGACTGGATTTCATCGAGCAGCACCGTAAATCTGCCACCAGCTGATGCTCACAGCTGCCACATTCGTCTACTGCTACCATTCTCAGATATACTGCATAAGTTAGTTCACACTACACGCGTTATGCATAACCGCTAGCAGTGCTGCATTCTCACGCTTCTTTTCATATTACTCTAGCTATATAACTGGTTGTTTTAGTGATTCTTACTATGTGACGATGTTCCACTGATGATAGTCACAAAAAAACGTTCTGGAATTGTTTCATTTTAATTGTTTATACATGGTTATGAGTGCACAATTGGTATTTTGTCATTGCTATTTTACAACTGATGACTATTCTATCCTGCTCCTCTGTTCCCCATTGGTTCTTGCCTGCAGACACCTGATCAAGTATTATGACCGACTTCTGGAGGGAGCTAATGCACACCGGAAACAGTTGAATGTGTTTGTACCTCTGTGTGGCAAGACTGTTGATATGATGTGGTGAGTGCAGACTGCTTGATGCAGGCTCCCCCCCCCCCCCCCCCTGCGTCTCTCTCTCTCTCTCTCTCCTGCTGCTGCTGCTGGTGTCCCATTAGACATTTAGATTACGCTGAGCTGAAAATCTGATTTCTCAAAATTGGCGCATAGCACGCTCTTCAACCGGTGACTGGGTAAGTGACATTTCACCGGATTTTCTTGTTCTTTTTCTCCACTTGCTTCTACTACTTGTCACCTGTCCCTGTAGGCTAAAGGAGCGTGGCCATCACATTCTTGGTGTTGAACTAGTGAGAAAGGCGTTGGACGACTTTGTATCTGAAAACAAGCTGCCCTCGACGGTATCTTCTGTGAAAAATGGTGATGGAGAGGAGCTTACTCTTATCAAGGTGGGTTTAAAAAATGATCTTCGATGTCGTTGCGAGGACTCGTCATATATTGTCAAATGTCCAGATACAACTTTTGACTGGCAGCTTGTTTGAATTCTTTTTTTGCCACGTGTGTGTGTGTGTGTGTGTGTGTGTGTGTGTGTGTGTGTGTGTGTGTGTGTGTGTGTGTGTGTTTTGTGCCATTTTTGAGCTCCGGTTTTTTTTAGAAGTTTTCTTCCACGGGCTGGTCTCCAGCTCCGGCTGGGGCCAGCCCAGGTGAGTTATAGACTCACAGTAAGTAGAGTAGCTGTGCTGAGCGAGGCAGCCGTCATCTTGCTGCCGCGGACGAGGACAATTCAGCATCGACAACATGGTCACCTCGGATATGACCACTCGCGCTGACCCTCGTCCGCCTGAGCGCGGAGGAGTTGCAAACCCCCGCTCAGAGCTTAGCTTGCAGCATGCACCAGCCGCTCGGAGGTTCGTGCTGTCTCTGGGAACCTGGAATGTGAGGACTCTTGTTGAGTCCGACGGCGACGTGAATACGGCTTCAAAATTTCAAAAAAAATCAAAACATTTGTTGCGGGAGGAGAAGAAATTGACCTGGTTTGTCGGCAGCTTGGACGTTTCGGAGTGGACATCGCAGGCCTGCAGGAGACCCTTTGGTTCGGCACGGCTCAGTACAGCGTTGGCGACTCTCTCGTGTTGGCGAGTGGACGCCCTACTCCAACGGCGGATGACTCTGGACGTCGTGGTGAAGGTGTGGCGATAGTGCTGCGCGGAAAGTGCAAAGACGCCTTTGTCAGCGGCGGTTCGGAATGGAAAGGACACAGCTCGCGACTTGTCTCCGCGAAGGTAAAGTTCGAATGTGGTCGTAATCGTTCAGTATCTTGCATTCATATCGCTGTTGCGTATGCACCAACATTCAGTAGATCACGTGAGGAGAAAGCTGCGTTCTATGAAAGTTTGCAGTCCTTCCTTGATAGTGTACCCAGGAGTGACCAGTATGTCATACTCGGCGATTTCAATGCTCGTGTTGGTGTTGGTACTGCTGGAGACGAGTGGAGCCGCGTAAGGGGTACACATGGACATGGCGTCATGAATTCTGCTGGAGAGGATTTACTAAACTTCCTGGCCAGAAACAGTGGGCTCATCTGCAACACCTGGTTCAAGAAGAAGGACATCCACAAGCACACGTGGCACCATCCCAGGTATAGGCAGCCTCATTGTATCGACTACTGCATTATTCCAGAGTCATGTCAGCGTCAATGTCTGGATTGTCAAGTTCTCCGCTCTGCGGAGTGTGACACCGACCATAAGTTCCTTGCCATGAGATACCGCTTGGCGGCGGTGCCCAGTTTCCGCAGGCAAAGTAAACCAGCCAACAAACCCATCGCTTCCGCAGTCCTAACGGCTCCCTCCAATGATGAAGTGCGAGCAAAATATTCCACTAGTCTTGATGCTGCCTTGGTTCAGAACTGGCCAGATGAGCTATCTGTGGACGGATGCTGGGCTGCGTTGAAAACTACGGTGGCGGACGTCGCTCAGAAATGCCTTGGCAGAGAGCGGCGCAAACAACCAGACTGGTTCCTGGACAATCGACCGAAGATTGAGGCTGCCCTCCGTGAGCGAGACGATTGCTACCGAGCCTGGATGTCGACCAACAGGGCAAGTGATCAGAAGCTGTATAAGAAGGCCCGAAGTTCAGCTCGCCGTATCGTTCGTCAAGCAAAGCAGGACTGGCTGAGAAAGCAGGCTCGGGACTGCGAACGCTTTAGTCTAACATCTAAGGGAGGCTGGGAGTGCATCAAGAGGATCCAGACTGCACTTGATGGATTGCAGCCCCGCAAGACAGCTGCTATCAAGAATGCGCAGGGTGTTGTGTGCGAGACACCAGAGGCAACAGGTACGCGATGGCGGGAGCATTTTGACGGTGTCCTAAACGTGATCAGTGATTTTGTCCCAGATGCCATTGATTCCATTGGGCAGCTACCGATTCGGCTTGACCTTGAGAACGCCCCAGCCTGCAGCGAGATACACCGTGCTATGCGAGCTCTTCAAAATGGCAAAGCATGTGGCCGATCAGAGATAACAGCGGAGATGCTCAAGTGCGGCTCTGAACTGGTGCCTAGGTTGGAGATGTTGTTGGCTGAAGTTTGGCGGACGGAAAGGGTTCCTCAGGATTGGGCAGACGCCATCTTAATCCCAATTCCCAAGAAAGGTGATCTTAGTGACTGTGGTAACTGGCGAGGCATCGCGCTTCTAGACGTGGTCGGCAAGCTGGTGGCAAGAATAATAGCGGATCGCCTGCAGCTGGTTGGAGAGGAATACCTGCCTGGCTCCCAGTGTGGTTTTCGCCGTGGTAGGGGATGCTCAGACATGGTGTTCTCAGTACGCCAGGTTGCCGAGAAATTGCATGAGCATTCATCAAAGGGCTTTGCGGTGTTCATTGACTTGCGCAAAGCATACGATTCAGTACCTAGAGCAGCCATGTGGAGGGTTCTCTCCAGGCTCGGCGTGCCGGATAAGCTGATCTCCATCATTCGGTCGTTCCATGAAGGCATGTCTGCATCCATTCGTCTCGGCGCAGATCTGCTCGACCCTTTCCCGGTGGGAAATGGCCTACGTCAGGGATGCACTATGGCCCCGATCCTGTTCAACTTATTCATGGGTGCGGTTGTGGAAAAGTGGCATGCTACCATCGCCAATGACGAGGATATCGGTATCCAGGTGTCGCAGTTTCGCAGAGACTACTTGTTCAATACGCGTCTCAGAGAGTGTCGCAGGGTGACTATCACGGAGTGTCAGTTTGCGGACGATTCGTCACTGTTCGCCAAAACCTACGGCGGTGCTGAAAGGGCCTTGGCCACGTTTCGACAGGTTGCAGCATCTTTTGGCCTGTCAGTCAATCTGGGCAAAACTAAGTTCATGCCTATGGGCGTTGGTGTGGTGGCGTCGGATATGTTGCCTTTGGGTGGAACCGTCGAATGCGTGGACAGCTTTCGCTATCTTGGCTGCCAGATCACTCCTGATGCTAGGAGTAGCTTTGATGTCTCTCGCAGGATCGCCGCAGCTTCGGGTGCATTTGGCGCATTGAAGAAAGCTGTGTTTGCGAACTCGGAGTTTCCTATCGGTCTCAAGCGTGTTGTGTACGGAGTCACTGTGTTGGCAGTACTCCTCTATGGTGCTGAGAACTGGACACCGAGGCAACGGGATCTCCAGCGTCTGGAGTCGTTTCACCTGCGATCTATACGCATGGTCCTGGGCATCAGTCGGGCGCGCCAGATGGACGAGCACGTGACAACCCTTCAGGTACGGCAGTGGTGGGGTGACATGGAGCAGGTCTCTGACAAGGTCCGGCGCCGTCGTCTCCAATGGCTGGGCCACCTGGCTCGCATGGATGACCGTATTCCCCGCCAATTGCTCTTTGGTGCCTTGCCGTCTAAACGACCTCCACATGGCCCCCGGAAGAGGTGGAAAGACCCAATCAAACATGACCTGACGGCGGTGTCCATTGGCATGAATGAGTGGCTTGAAACAGCAGATGATAGGTCTGAGTGGAGAACCAGGTGTCAGGATGGAGTCTACAGTGTGGTATGCTCCCGTGTACAACCTGCCGTGAAACCACTCCTGTGTATGGTCTGCACACGCCGTTTCAGCCGTCCTCAAGACATCGCTAGACATAGTTGCACCTCCCGTCGCTCCGCAAAGGCAAAAAACAAACAGTGAAACAGCCGTTCACGTCCCGCCGGACTCGCAGGGCCTCATGCCGCGTCCCGGAGACAGCACTCCTCCAAGTCGCCCCGTTTGGGGACACATAGCCAATCGTGGCAGTGGGCGAAGGAAGGAAGGAAGGTGTGTGTGTGTGTGTGTGCGTATGTGTGCATTGACAGTTGTGTCTGTTCACATCCTCTGCGTATCTCTCATTATGATTATGCACTGTTCAGGCCGGTGAGAAGAGCTCTATCTCCCTGTTCCCATCAGACTTGTTCAATGTAGACTGGTAAGTAAGACCGTGGTGCACGGTGGCTGTGTATCAAACACCTGTGTCCGCTCTACTGAACCATACATCAAGCTGATTGGTGTTACATGTACATGGTACAACAACCCTGATAAGACCTTCTTCCATGGGCAGCAGGGAGGTGTAGTTTGCTACTTGATCACCCTGATCTTGACCCCCGGGGTTGGCCTATTAGCTGGGACACATCCTATCTAGCTGGGACACATCCTATCTAGCTGGGACACATCCTATCTTGTAATCACAGATTGTAGCCCGTGCCACTTGCATACTCTATAGTATATTCTGAGCGCTCCGAAAATGAAAATTTATTCTAACGTGGGCTGATAGTGACTGATACCCGGTTGTAGGTTTGTGTCGCTGGATCCACTTGAGACAACCGTGTGCTTTCGATTTGTGGTCCCTGTGGCGCTTTGTCACAGTGTTTGCCGTGTCGTTAAGGCAGCCGCGGTGTATGTTACTTTTGAAACAATACTGAAGTCACTTCATTGCAAACTTGAGTTTTAGATAAGAGAATTTAATGTTGAGGGTTTCCTTTTGTTTGGTGATCTCTAGATGATGTCCGTAGTAATGGTTTACTGTATTACTGACATATTGATGTGTTCTTTATCTGTACTGCCTGCAGTGTTGCTCTTGGCCAGGTAGATGCGGTCTGGGACAGAGGTTCATATGTCGCACTGGAAGCAGAGTTTCGTCCCCGGTATGGAACGGATTATTCATTGTCTACACACCATGTTAGGGACCGTTTACCGCAGGCATACAAACGCCGCCCACACACAACCACATTCTTCACAGACCGGCACTGCACAGTCCTACCCTGCAGAGTTCTGCACTGCAAGACCCTGTGCAGCTTATACCCAGACACAGTCATGTGATGAGTATTATGTGACACATGTTTATTGTAGGGTAGACGTGGAGTTCTCTTTTTCATACAATGTTGTATGATGCGTGTTTCACAGCAGCTCTCCCATGCAATGCATGTGTTAGCCACGTGGACAGAACGGGTGCACTGCAGTGTTCAGTCGCATCCATATGCCCCCTCCCGCAATTTTTCTCATACAAATTTCTAAGAGATTGGATAACAAACGCCCGATTTCGGAAATTTATACACAAAGTGATTACAGATTTTATGTTGTGTAATTGCTGGCCTAACGGTTTTTTAAAACCAGAGGTCCGGGCTTTTGAAACACACTTGTTGCTATGGTCAGAATTGACAATGGGCTAGCATCTGCACCTTATCCATCAGTGTACTGCTGTGTTTGGTAATGGACCTGTGGTCTTTTCGTTTGTTCGGTATCCTAAGTTATGCAGATTACATGGCTTCAGTGGTCAAACCTGGAGGTCGTCTTTTGATGGAGACATATGACTATGTGCAGGCTGAACATCCTGGTACGTCCCCGATGTGTGTGTGTGTGTGTGTGTTTGGGGTGGGGGCTACCACTTAAGATCTGCATCTGCTCCTTTGATTCTAGAGGGTGCGAATGCGGAAAACTCGGCCTCTAGCCGAGTGTCACGCGAACCGTGATTTTGGGATGGGGAGGGGATGGTGGAGAGAAGAGATATCGTGCACATCCATGCATATGTTGCCCAATGTTAGAAAGGGGGCGCCTAAGGCCAACATTAGACTCCGGCAGAGTTAACCAGGTAAATATGCTGATGTCTTTACTACCAAACCGTGAGACCCTGACCTGCAGCAATTTTTTCTCAAACAATTTTTTATCAGGAAATACTGCATATGTGAAAGTATGATTTACATAAGCAAACCGTATGACACATCAAATGAAAAACTTAATAATAAAAAAGAAAAAAATCGTACCAGTACTGATGAGGCCTTTATGGCCGAAACACTTTGCTGACTGCAGCATTGGGTAATAAAAAAACCCTGTTTTCTTCTGGTTTTCTGGCAAACTGAGTAGTTTCAAATTTGGACTTCACGGAGAATTTCAAAGTATTAGGAAATTAGAGGCCACATGCCACGTGGCATGTGGCCTCTAATTTCCTAATACTGAGTAGTCTTAGAAGTATTCGGAATGGTGCGACTATAGTCTTGGCCACAGTCTAATTTGCCTTTTTAATCCCAGTCTAGGCATTTTGTGCAAGAAATATCTTGCGCATAATACAGTGCTGCTCAATAAAATCCAGTCGCGTCACTCAAGTACGCGCCTTGCGACATTTCTCAGCCCAGAGTTCGCAGGTGTAGGGCTGCAGAACGCCCGGCGCGTACTTGAGCAGCAGTGAGTACATTCTGTGTGCTAACACTCTGTGTTGCGTTCTTCTATCTAACGAGTCGAATAGTCTAGGCCAGCCCCATTGAACAGAAACGTCTCTTCGCTGAGGTATCTTAGCGTTCCAGGATTACTATACTGTCTTGTGTCTTGCAGGTCCACCGTTTTCTACTCCTAATGACGAAATCGTTGCTGCTTTTGGTACGTTGTTCGCCTCTTTGTCTTGGTTTTCTGTTTGGAGTTTTGCAACATGTTGACTTGTGCAAATCCAGTCGATTTATCTTTTTCACGCTTCATTCTCTCCCTTATTTGAAGAGGCTGCATGACTATATTCTTACCAGTACTGTGCGCAATGTCGCATGTGTCCATGCGTAGTCGCTTGCATACGTGTGTTCCTCTGTGTGTGTGTGTGTGTGTGTGTGTGTGTGTGTGTGTGTGTGTGTGTGTGTGTGTATGTGTTGTGCTCCTAGGAAGCAATTTCACCGTGGAGTTCTTGATGAAGGAGGATATTCTCAAACTCTTTCAGGAAACACTCGGATATAAACTGAGAACATTTTGCGATCGAGGCATGGCATTGCTAGTTCGGAATGGCCATGCTGTTGAAAGTGGCATGGAATGAATGCTCATGTTCTTCACCCACCCTTGAACTGGTCGAGAGTAGTGTTTCCCCGTAAGAACGAACACTTGCACTATCTTGAGTCGATGGTACGTGCCGGAAAGTCTTCACGGAGACGGAAGCAGAGTAAATTGAGAAACGTAGGATGTTTGCGATTCGTAAGAACAGCCAGTAAGATACTTGACTTAGTATTCCGATCAGAGTGCTACAATGTTTGCTGTATGAATGCCATGGATTTCCTAGCAATATTTAACCTATAGAGCCCCACATTCTCACACAGCTTTTCATACAGCGCTACAAGACCCACCCTCTCCTGGCATATATACCCGCATGGTCGGCACCCCATCCTCATGTTGCCTGATGATTGCGAGAGCATGACACTTGAAGTAGCAGCAAACAAGCCTTGATTGTCCTTGTTGTTCTGTAATGATATAATTCTGATTTACCGTGTGTCCATCCACGGTCCAATTTATTGCTACAGCTCAAACAGTGTGTTACTCGCTTTACGTTGACTGTCAGCTGCGATAGCCTATCTCTAGTGGATACTACTAGATGGCACATACACATACACGCGCATGCATCGGACCAGTGTGCGCGCGTGTACACACACACACACACGTGTGCAGTGTGCATGCTACCTTCCTGATCTTCTCCTCCACACTGCTACTTTCAGCTACTAGTAATTCATTCAATCGGTTTCTGCCGCGGGCTTGTTTATCTGTTGCCTTGCAGTTTGACTGTTTCAAAGACCAAGTGTTGGTCCTACAGTATCCGTTAGTTCAACCTAAAGTATCTCTTCCACATTAGCAAGGCGGACGGTATATACTGTATAATACACGTAGCACATAGTCTACATGACATAGCAGATCATAGTGTGTAATCAGTGCGGCAGATAACTAGCCATTTCGGTTGGACAGTGAGCTACCAATAGTATGTGGTCTCGTCCGTGCAACTGCAAGCCAGATTTACGGCAAATAATAAATGCGGGTGCATGCTGTGGTCTTGGTGACCATGGTGACAGTGGGATTATGTGTTCATGAATGTGAATGTTTCGTCATACAGTAGAAGCTGTGTTTGCCGGACCCTGTACCAAGCGGAATCCTGTATTGACCGGACAACTTTTACTGTTCACGCACCGACGTGCTGTGGATCGAACGTGCATCCCTGGATCAAGCGGAAACCTGTCGTATCAGGACATTTTCTGCTGCACCAAGGCCCGGGTGTCGTCCGGTTGTGGATGGTTTGCTGTACTCGTTTGGATCGAGTTCACATCTACACGACAGTGTACACGACATTGTACAAGGCAAGGACACGCAGTGGCAGCAGGTCATATCCAGAAAGCCATTCACATCATTTATATTAAAAGACTGTATGTGTATGGCTCCTTGGTTATGTAGCACACAAGAATACAAATTTATCACTCTTATGTTCTTCCTTTGTTTGATTACTGCTCTCTCGTTTGGTCCTCCGGTCTATCCTCCGCTCTTATGCATCGGTTAGAAGTCACCCACCGTAAATTACTTCGATTAATATTTCGCATGCCCCCTCTGACCTCCTCTCAGACGCTATACATTTTGGCTTCCTCTTCCCCTCTCTCAGAACGCTTTCCCCACTCGGCATGCAAATTCATTCACCGTATTAAGCTTCAACTTGCTCCTCCTCATGCACTTGCGCATTTAAGCTGGTTCAATAATAGCTCGCGTACTAGATGTTCTCTACATTTCCCACTTGCCAGGTCATCGATCCTTTTAAAATCCCCTCTGTTTAAGTCCTATTCTCATTGGTCTCGGCTTCCGCAGGAGGTAAAGTCTCGTGACACCTTCGCTGCATTTTGTTCCATTCTGCCCGCGCCTAAGTTGAATTGAATTGAATTCGTTGTTTTCCATTGCTAGCCTAATCTTCATACTGCTCTCTCCAGGTTCCTATAGTACTCCTTTTGTTTTGTTTTCTTTTCTCCTTTTCTTCTCCTTCTTTTTCTCAGTTGTCCCCACCATGGCTGGTTAAAATCGCCCGCATCACATGCTTATTGGCACTATGTCATCGTGATTGTGAAATAATAATAATAATAATAACTACCGTACGTGATTGTAGATCTACTGTACTTTCTCGGTAACTAATACTAATGTCATAAGTTATATCACGCATCACGACATGAAAGACTAGCTACAGGACTGTTACCAAGGCAAATATGGCGTCTGGGAAAACAAACAATGCTCCCGATCTTGAGGGAAGGGAATAATTATTTTCGAGTGCTAGTGATGCATTTTGCCACAAACATGCAGCGCTCATGTAGCTCACCATGCTAGGAATACGATCATGTAGCATGCTTGAAGTTAGTTGAAGCTCCTTCTCCATTCTGACTAACTTATTCTAGTTACAAATAGCTCAGATTTTAGATGGTGGTGGTAATTTCCGAACCACTCGCATAGATTCCCACCCAAGGTAAAACAGTGCTAACGGTTCGCTGCATGCTGCAAGCTCATCAGTGTCAATGGTCCGACTTGTAGCCCTTGGAATCACGGCCAGGACAAGTTCTTCATCATGTCAGCTCTGTGGCCAGACCTGACCGTATTGTCGAAATTGGACGTTGCACACGTCTTGCCGGCGTGCTCAAATAGTTGTCAGTAGCGGAACCAGCAGCAGTTATGGCCGGCTGTGAGTGCGAGCGGAGATTGATTGCACTACTGCATTGTAGGCGATTGTCCTCTAGCTGCCTGAGTATGGTTATCACAAGGCATGGAGGTGAGTTCTGAGCTCAATCGAAACGAGTTTACTATCGGTAATTTCACGGAGGATGACCGAATTTGCAAGATAGTAAACAAAAGGAACTGTGTTTGTTGCTGTGTTCAATATCAAAATTATTATTAATATATTTGGGTGTACCCATGGCGGCATTCTTGTAAGTCGACCATCTGTATCAGGAGACAACTACATTTACATTTTCAAAAATGTTATTTACAAAGAACACAAACCCGGCTCGAGACAAAAATTAGTAACTATAAAGATAACAAAATAGCAGAGAGGATGAAGATACGACCAACAAGTTGAGGGTCTACAGAACAAACAACTATTGAGTCGAGGCTGACTATCCACTAGTGCAGCTTTGTAGGTGGGGCGTTGTGAACTCCTCTGACCAAAGGTCTCGTATCCTTCCACACTACGTGCACCAGGGGAGGGGGGGGGGGGGGGGGGGTAAAAAGAAAGAAAGAGTCAGGCCATCAGCTAATATGCTAGTTTGTGGTGTACACGTCGACAGCGGTCCCACAAGTTTGCTCGAGGAGGTACTTGTACCCTGGCACCTTGTAGGACGAGTAGCAAACTATTTATTTCCAGTAAACCTTGAGTAATGATACCACCTGTATGCCGCATATAGGACCACGATTCAATTTCTGTGTGAGCGTCAGTGCCCTACAATGGTACTGTTATGTATTCAGGCTTGGATGGTTTACCGGATAACAAGTTTTCCGACCGCTAGACTTGTGGGGTATGAAACCGTTAATTTTCCGGTTCCAAACGGGTTTTCATACACCTGTATAATGTAGCAGTGCATGATGTGCTTCACCAGTCATTCCGTCACATGCAGCTTTCCAGGTTACTCACACCCGCAGGCATATCCTTGCAATAGAGAGGTTCCGCACTAGGTAAAGTTCAGCAACTTTCAGGGCTCACCACGACCATACAAAATTCAAAAAGCGTCGACCACCATTTTGAATGCCGCCAAAGCCAGAGTTTGTGCAGTCATAGCGGCTACGCACCCGAGTTCATGCTCATCGATGTACAGCGATGAACAGTCTAGTCGTAAAATACCGGTATTTTACGACTTCCCGGTATTTTACGACTTCCTGGTCTACTCTGTACAGCGAAGGGCCAGTGCCGAAGCGAATCTTGTTGTTTGATGTCGAGAAAGACACGCGGAGAAGACGTCCTTTCTCCAAGCAATCTTGGTCATTTTTCTCAATCCGCTGGTGGGTGTCGACCAAGATATGTCCGTGGGGTACTGGTGAACTTGAGTCCTGGCATCTACAAGAATTTGCCGCGCCTAGCTAACCAATGTTGTCAGTAGAACTCAGCGTTTCCTGATCGCGACTCGGCACACTCTTTTCTGTTTGGCCTCGCAGCTTTCACGCTGCGAGTGGGGAGTTTCCTTGTCACAAATGAATCCCTTAGTCATGACCATGATGAGAGGTGACTAGTATGATCCCTGACTGGCATGAGTCCTTAGCTTGAGTCAACACGAAGGTAAACTCTTCACTTGGAACGCTTGCTGTCTCCTCCGCCCTTTCTTGTTGCACTTGCAGATATGCGCACGGCTGCCAGTTTTTGTTGGTGCGCGCGGCGACGCACGGCCGACCTTGATGTCTTCAAAAAAGTAGAACAGCGGTTCTCCTTGGCCGATTCTCACCATCGATAGCTCATTTTCAAGGTCTTGGAATTCTCTATCGGTTTACCGTCCCCGATTTCTAATTTTCTCTTCATTCACTTGTTTGCACGCCTTCGCGTTTGAGTGATTTCACCATCCGATCTCAGCCAAACGAAGGCCAAATCGAAAAATTCGAGACGGTAACCCCCCAAAGACACACCTTCTGAACACGAATCCACAATGGCCTAATGTCTAAAACCAACGAATACAGCCAAGCTCCACTCAGAAAACACCCCACAATTGCAAGAAACAGCCCGTTTTGCTGTGCGCTGATTGGTCAAATCCAAATGACCGTTATTGACGCTTTGTATGGTCGTGGTGAGCCCTGACTTTACGTTAGTGGGTGGGAAAAACACGTGAATTCGCGAGTTTGCACTCCACTTACGGAAAGTTGTCTACGTAGAGTACGTAGATAGGGCTGTGATAACGTAGCTGGTCCGTAAGTGGATTGGGGTACGAAATTATGACTCTCTCCCCAGGTTGATCTGGTCGTACACTGCCGCGTTCGGAGTTGCCAAGGGCAGCTATGTGATTAAAAAACTCCGTATGGCGGAACACAGATCCGCACGCAGTTTCCGTAAGACTTTCCGTAGATCGACTACGTTTTTACTAACGTAATTACGCAATGCGGAACCTCTCTAATGTAAATAACATGTGCTTGCGCCACCTCCGCTGCTTCGACTGCCATCGCTATGAGCCTCCCTGTGCTGCTTTGCTGGCGTTTGCACCTTAATGGTTTGTGGCTGTCTTGTGAAAAAGAGTAATTTTTTTAACTCGTCGACAGAAGCTTTTGATTGAGGGTATGATAATATTGATGGCTACTTGTCAGAAGTTGATCCAGTGGGAAGGAATTCCTAGGATATGAGTCTCAGCACTGAAGACGAAACCGTCTCCCCCACCATAGTCCAGCTTAAAGCTGTAGACGGTGTAGAAGCCTTGTTTGATGTCAATGCAGAGGTCTCGCTTGTGTTTTAGGGATTATGGTGTGTCCTGCGGCAATGGGTCATGTTTGTGTACATGTGCTGGAAAAGATCTACCCTGAACTTCAAGAGCTGATTATAATCAGTCATCCGACCATTTATTTAGAGAATACCTGGCCATGAAAACGTTGTGACCGTCTATTGAGCCTTATGTATGGAACTGTATTGTGCAGTCAAGACATATAAGATATAGGTGAATGGATATAACATCAATGTCAAAAAAAAGGGTTTGCTCTCCTATTTCGTATCAATGTCTCATGTGATGGTATCAAATTTGGCCACGAAATGGAAC